AGCTAAGACTCTATTTATGATTTTTTTTTCTATTTATGATTAGTCATAAATAGGTTACTGTAGATTCTGTTGTACGGAAACCATAAAGCATTCCAACAAAATGTTTCAATATAGTTTTTTTATTGTACCTATGGCATTTATTGCTAAATATAATAGTCTGATCATGATACGGAATATGTGTATCTTTAAACACACACACACACACACACACACACACACATTCTCTTGAATGCCTACATAACTCAGCGTAGCTAGATTTTCACCAGGCCAGTCATCTAGTTGTTGAATGAAGTATCTCATCCTGGCTCCCTTGGCACATGGTGTATGTGGTAGATTGCATTTATTACTCCAAGTATTTCTTGTCCTTTTGTGGAGAGAGATATATGTCCTCAATCATTGACTTTAGGCTTTTAGTACTTTTTCTTGTAGGAAAATTACATACCTCTGCTTTGTTGAACTCAGGAGTTGTTATGTAACTTGTTCCACTCAGTGAAATGGGTGTGGAAATGATGTGTCTGTCACTTTTTAAAAATGTGTTTTTATTTATTTTTATCTACTTGGAGGCAAAGAGAGAGAGAGAGAGCGCTATCGATCTTTGATCTGCTGATTCACTCCCCAAATGTCTGCAACAGCCAAGGCTGGGCCAGGCAGAAGCCAGGAGCCAAGAACTCCATCCAGGTCTCCCCCACAGGTGGCAGAGGCCCAAGCACTTGAATCATCATCTGCTGCCTCCCAGGATGCACTAGTAGAAAGCTGGATGAGTAACAGAATAGCCAGGAAATGGAATGCAGGCTTAACCTCCTGCACCACAACACTGGCCCCATGTGTCATAAAAGCTAGCCTGTGGTTCACTCTCTCTCTCTCTTCTCTCTCTGCAACAAAACTAGCAATGTTCAATAAAAGGCATTCTCATCTGCATAGTCCTTGGAGTACAGATGACATGAAATAAAGCCATGATTGACCCATAATAAACAAGTAACGTGAATAAGAAATAAACTGTAGGGGGCTAGTGTTGAGGCATAGCAGGTAAAACTACTACCTGTGATGCCACCATCCTGTATGGGCACCACCAGTTCATGTCCAGTCTGCTTCACTTATGATCCAGCAACCTGTTAAAGGCCTAGGAAAAGCAACAGAAAATGGACCAAGTGCTTGGAACCCTGCCCTCAATGTGGGAGACTTGGATGAAGTTCCTAGCTCCTGAAATTGGCCTGGCCCAGCCCTGGCCATTGCAGCCATCTGGGGAGTGAACCAGAGGTTGAAGATCTCTCTCTCTGACTCTGACTTTCAAATAAATAAATAAATCTTTTACAAAGGAAAGAAGAAAAGAAATAAACCTTAGTACTTTGAAACCATTTGGGTGATCACTACTGAAGTCTGTCCTGTTTCATGCAATGTTTAATAAGGGAGGAGAGGGCTGGGTTTTATCCCCTATGAGCATTCTAGAAATTTCTCTGAGCAGATTGCAAGATCCTTTCTTTTCACATAAAGTCCTGGAAATTGGTCTGCTTTTCCTCTCTTGAATCTTCTTTCTCACCCTCCTCTTACCTGTGGGAAGAGAAAATTCCTCTTTCCCATGGTTTTAATCAGTGGATGGTGAGTAGACTTGATTTATGACCCACTTAAGCAAGGATGCAAATGTACCTGCATGTTTTCACTCAGCCTCTTATGCAGCTTCAGAAGAGCACTTCCCAAGTGGCAGTTTCTTCTACAGCTTGATCTGGAGAGAGAGGCATGCGGAAAGACATGATTCTGACCCACAACCTGGAGCTGAACACAGCTATCCACAGATTAATGTTACTAATTTTAAGTTATGAAGCCTTGGAGCTGTTCTTCACCCAGCAGGAGCTGATCACTGTAGGCAGGGACCATATGTCCTGGAACTGAATCCTCTTTCTGTCCCTAAATGTTAGTGGAACAGCAGTCTGGCAGCCATATTTTTAAAAATAAGGTACTTTATGAGATGTTAATGATTCTATTATCCCCAATTGGGCAGCATAGGAAACATTACCTAGAACTAAAAATTTTTTATATCAATAATAGGTGCTTTCATTTTTGTCCTATCTGCCATGTCGTAGTTACTGATAGCACCTACTATGTGTGTGGCATTTTCCAAGACCTACCTTATCTTTTTAAAACATTTTTTTTTTTTGACAGGCAGAGTGGACACTGAAAGAGAGAGAGAGAGAGAAAGGTCTTCCTTTGCCGTTGGTTCACCCTCCAATGGCCGCCGCAGCCGGCGCGCTGCGGCCGGCGCACCACGCTGATCCGATGGCAGGAGCCAGGTACTTCTCCTGGTCTCCCATGGGGTGCAGGGCCCAAGCACTTGGGCCATCCTCCACTGCACTCCCTGGCCACAGCAGAGAGCTGGCCTGGAAGAGGGGCAACCAGGACAGAATCCGGCGCCCTGACCAGGACTAGAACCTGGTGTGCCGGTGCCGCAAGGTGGAGGATTAGCCTAGTGAGCCGCGGCACCGGCCTTAAAACATTTTTTAAAGATTTATTTATTTATTTGAGAGGCAGAGTTACAGACAGAGGGAGAGACAGAGAGGTCTTAAATCCACTGGTTTACTCCCCAAATGCTGTAACTGCCAGAGCTGGGCCAATCCGAATCCAGGAGCCAGGAACTTCTGGATCTCCCACGTGGCTGCAGGGGCCCAACCACTTGTGCCATCTTCTACTGCTTTCCCAGGTCATTAACAGAGAGAGAGCTGGATCAGAGGAGGAGCAGCCGGGACATGAACGGTTGCCCATATGGGATACTGGCACTGCAGGCGGAGGTTTAGTCTACTGTGCCACAGCGCTGGAGAGCCCTGATCTGCCTCATCTTGTTGACTCTATTTAATTCCCTCTCCTAGATGGGTCCTTGGGCAGTGTCAAAGGCAAGGAGAACAGTGTGAGAAGGAAGCAACCTGAAGGCTTGCATTCTCAGAGCCATTGTACCCTGCAAATGTGAGCTCAACCTAGTGTTTAGCTTCCACTCTGGTAAGGCTGTATGCATGTGTAACCACATGATATATTAACTCCTTTAACCCAAGCAGATTAGAGTAGAGGTGATCAGTGTGCAATATCCTGGTGTTCACACACCTCAAGCCAAGAGTTGTGTGATATTCAAATCTCTCCTTCCTTATGTCCCTCTGTGGGTGCCATCCAGATCTCTTACTAGTTATGGAGTAGTCTGATTCACTCCTGAGGTCTTGCAGAACAGTCTTCTTCTGTTACTGAAATGAGACTTGTCTTTCTGCTTTTTGAATTGCCATTATCATCCTACTATAAAGAGAGGTTTGGTATTTTACATGACTGACTGTTAAAGGCAGGGCAGGCTAAGTACTTTAATAAGCAAGTACAAAGGTCACTAGTTTCTAGACACAATGGTTTACACATTGCTCACCACAGTCTACTCTAGGTTGGGAGGGTGCTGGGAGGTGGGAGGCAGGAAGGACCTCTGTTTTCATGCAGTTATTCAGGATGCCATCTGATGTCTCCAGCCTCTCCCCAACCCCATACCCACTCCAGGGCTCTCCATTCAGATGAGGAAACGGTCAGTAGAAACAGAGTAGAACCTGCTTGCAGCCCTTCTAGCTCAGGTGTCACACCTCTCCCTTTGATCACATTTTGCTGGCAAGGCCAAACACATAACCCTTAGGCTAGGAAATGAGATTACCTGTGAGCCCTAGAAGGTGAGAACATGGATATGAAAGCACTGGCAGACTGCACCATGGCAGTCTCAGATGGGGCCTGGGAAATCCTTCCTTCCCAGTAACTTACAAGCTAGACACCTTTTTTCTAAATTTGTGCAAACTATTACGCTGGTACGGCAAAAGGTTTACAAGGGGTCTTCTAAAAGCTAATGGAAAAATGCACATTATTGGTTCATTCCATTCTCCCACAAACTTTTTAAAATCCTCTGGGTACTTTCTGTTCTATAGACACCCTTTGATTTTTGCACTGGCCTTACTGGCTGGTGCAAGCTTGTTTTCTATCAGAGCATTAGATCTTCTTACTCCTAAAATATTACTTGCGTTAAAATATACAGATTTATTTTATGCCTTTTTTTACTCTACATTATTTTACTCCCTAACACATTTGATATTCACAGTAACTGTATGAGTTATTTTTATTTTTCTGCTTTGGAGCTGAGGAATCTAAGATGTAAGGAGGTGCTGTGATTTCCCACTAAGTGAAGTAGCAGAGCTGGGATTCACACCACTGTGTGTCTCAGTCCCAGGCCCCGAGTGAATCATCATATCACACAACATTCCTTTCTGTACCAGGCTTAGGGCAACTGCCTCTTCCATCTTCACCCCTGCCTATACCTCCCTTCCCTCATTGAAAAGCTGCTCCAGGGACCTTCCTCTGTTGCCTTTTCCTCTTTCAAAGTCTAGGGCTCTAGAATTTGCTTACAAATGGAAGGTAATTTCCCTCACTGGTTCCCATGACAGTACTCCTTTAAAAAATAGAACAATCAGGATTAAATTAATATGTAATATTAATATAGTTACATGAAATCAGAAATAAGGATGAAAGGTAATGTTAAATAACAGACGTTTTGGGGAGTTCTGAGTATTCTTTCTCTTCTTTGGGATATGCAGAAAGAGTTTTCAGAAATTACTATGCACAATCAACAAGTACTGTTGGAACTTGCTCTAAATGTGTGTATATTCTCTGTGTCAAGATTTGCTTTTGTAGCTCTGTTTTAAGAACCCATACCTGTGGCTAGTAAATAGAAGTAATAATCTTAGCCTAGCTGCTGACTTGGTGGTACATTATAAACCCCACTCAGCTTCTTTATTAGGCATGAAGACTTGGTTGAATGCACCAAGATCTCATTACTCATAGAAATAATAAAGATGTTCCAGAATCGTTAACAGATAAAATACTTTAAAGTCTCTAGCAGCTACACAGCCTTAAGCTGGAATTCCTAATTTCGTGTGTGTTGAGTTCAGTTCTTGGAAATGTTTAAAGCTACCTTTACTATTTTCTGCTGTCTCTTTCTGTAGGTTTGATATGCAATGATTCTGGCCTGAGTTCCAGGATGGTTTGTTCTTGGGACCAGACGTGACCAAAAGTTGACCTCATGAGCACATCAATCTCTCCCGCTGCCATGCTCCTCCGGAGGCTGCGGCGACTCTCCTGGGGCAGCACTGCTGTCCAGCTCTTCATCCTGACAGTGGTGACATTTGGCCTACTGGCCCCCTTGGCCTGTCATCGGCTTCTGCACTCGTATTTCTATCTGCGCCATTGGCATCTGAACCAAATGAGCCAGGAGTTTCTGCAGCAGAGCTTGAAAGAGGGGGAAGCTGCCCTCCACTACTTTGAGGAGCTGCCCTCAGCCAATGGCTCAGTGCCCATTGTTTGGCAGGCCACCCCCCGCCCCTGGCTGGTGATTACCATCATCACCGTGGACAGGCAGCCTGGCTTCCACTACGTCTTGCAGGTGGTGTCCCAGTTCCACCGGCTGCTGCAGCAGTGCGGCCCCCAGTGTGAAGGGCATCAGCTCTTCCTGTGCAACGTGGAGCGCAGTGTGAATCATTTCGATGCCAAGCTGCTCTCTAAGTATGTCCCTGTGGCAAACCGCTATGAGGGCACTGAGGATGACTATGGCGATGACCCTTCAACCAACTCGTTTGAGAAAGAGAAGCAGGACTATGTCTATTGCCTGGAGTCATCCCTGCAGACCTATAATCCAGACTACGTCCTGATGGTGGAAGATGATGCCGTGCCAGAGGAGCAAATTTTTCCCGTCTTGGAGCACCTTCTGCGGGCTCGCTTCTCCGAGCCCCACCTCAGAGATGCCCTTTATCTAAAGCTCTATCACCCAGAGAGGCTTCAGCACTATATCAACCCAGAACCCATGAGAATCCTGGAGTGGGTCGGTGTGGGCATGTTGCTGGGGCCCTTACTTACCTATATTTACATGAGGTTTGCCAGCCGTCCAGGGTTCAGCTGGCCCGTCCTGCTCTTCTTCTCCCTCTATAGTATGGGGCTGGTTGAACTGGTGGGCCGGCACTATTTCCTGGAACTGCGGCGCCTGAGCCCTTCTTTGTACAGCGTGGTTCCTGCCTCTCAGTGTTGTACCCCAGCCATGCTCTTCCCTGCCCCTGCAGCCCGCCGGACCCTCACCTACCTGTCACAGGTGTACTGTCATAAAGGTTTTGGCAAGGACATGGCCCTGTACTCACTGTTGAGGTCCAAGGGAGAGCGGGCCTATGTGGTCGAGCCCAATCTGGTGAAACACATAGGGCTCTTCTCCAGTCTCCGGTACAACTTCCATCCTAGTCTGCTCTAGGGAGCCAAGAAATGCTTCTCTGGAATTGGCCACTTTTTAGAGATTCAAATATTGTGCTCTTTATTTAGACACGGTTGCTTGCAGATATTTCCTTGTTTAATGTTGCTAGGAGGAAAGGCACTGGGACAGCTGAGGAACATATGGAAGTCAAGAACCTTGGCTTTGGTAACCTCCTGGCAACGGCAGCAGTTTGCCACAGCCCCAGACCTCTCCTTCCACACAGCCACACTGCCTCATGCAGTCTGACCCACCCAGGGAGGGCGCATTTACATACAAGTTACGTTCTCTGATTGTTTTAAGCTTCTCTTTGTGATGGAGCTTGTGACTGCCAAAAATCTTGTGCACAGTATTATTATGACCGATTTAGAATTTTGAGTAGAATTTGGTGAAACATAAGATTCTTCTGAATTGGTGTTTTTCCTCATTGGGTATGAGAATGAATGTATGTTTAGAATATATGCCCAAAGAGGCAGGACCAGTTCACTTGTTTCCTTAACCTGGTGTAATAAAAACTGGTGAAAGCCATGCAGTGCCCAGCATCTTGAAGGCAGGTGATCTGGCTTTTCTGTTACCTGGCGTTTTCTTTTCCAAGATCAGATGAGATCGGGTGCATTCAGGGTGGTATGGCCGTAGACTCTTTTCCCATTGATCTCTAGTACATTGATAATCCATAGGATTAGTGAGAACTTGAAGGCACAGCACAATCTGGAAGAGTCTTCTGAATCATCACATTGCTTATGTCTAATAGTGATTTAGTATTGAATGGTTCTATCCTATGCTGATTCTTTGACAGCTGGACATTTCAGAAGGCTATAAAATGAGTAAGGTCTTTAATAGTAACATGTACTTTTTCCTAACTTTGCTGGCTAGCTGTTCACCCTCATCTCTTTTTCTTCTAGGAAACATTATAGAAGAAAAAACATGGGCTGTGAAGTCAGAAGATCTGAACTTTTATTTCAGATCTCTGCCATGTGCTGATTATATGACCTTTAGCAAGTCGTGTAACCACTCTAGTTCTCAAATTTTTCACCTGTGAAATGAGAACAGTAATACTTACATTTTAAAGTTGTCTTGAGGATTAAATTACAAAATATGTTTGTATGTTTGGGCTTCACAACTGCTTAGTATGTAGTGGATGCTCGGTAAATTTCTCTCCTGTAATAAGCACATGAAAATCAAGTGTATTTTAAATTTTTTTTATTTAAATGAGTTACAGAGATAGAGGGAGACACATACACACAAAGCTCCCCCCTGCCCCCCACCCTGAGATATCTTCCATCTGCTGTTTCACTCTCCCAATGCCCATATCAGCCAGGACTGAGTCTGGGCCAGGCAGACGCCAGGAGCAAGGAGCTTCATCTGGGTCTTCCACATGGGGGCAGGGACCTAGGGACTTAGGTCATCTTCCACTGCTTTCCTGGACATATTAGCAGGGAGCTGGATTGGAGTGGAACAGCTGGGACTTGAACCAGAGCTCAAATGGGATGCCAGTATTGCAGCCAGTGGCCCAACCCACAACACAACACCGGCCCTGTGAATCACAGGGTATTTTAAGTAAAGATATTAGTGAAGTGTGAAGTCAGGTATTGGACTGACACTTGCGGGGCACAGCTTTCATCGCCATCTCCAACCAAGCCAAAATAAGGACAGTTCATTCCAACTGGAGATGATCTGAGACTCCTCTTGAGCTTATTCTAAGACTAATGTCTGAACTTACCCCCCCCCCTTTTTTTTTTTTGAGAGTTATAAATAAATGGTGACAGTACTTACCACACTGGTGGCCAACAAGTCCCTTTATGAGATTATGTTACAGAGTTCAAGCAGCAGTCCAGTTTGTTGCAATGCTGCATCTTTTGTTTGCTTGTAAATGTCCATGGTGAGCATCTATCCCGAAATCCACTCAAGCACTGAAGCAGTTATGTAGGGGTTAATTACCCATGGTCTTGAGACCCAGAGATGTTAAACAACTTCTCTGGATTTTTTACAGCGAAACAACCACACAGCCAGGACTCAGACTTCTTGCACCTACTGTTTTTTCTTAACCACATTAATTTTCTAGATAATTATGTGGTCAAAATCTCTTTTGTGAACCTAATTGTAATCTGGAATAAGTAATGTCTTGGTAAGCTAAGCTAATAGAAACCCATTGTTATATTAGTCTTAAGGATGAACAGATAAATATATGTTGTGTTGGTAAAGTGAGCTGTTATGCATCCCCTAGTACTGTCCAGGATGATCAGAACTACTCAGTGACTCATTATGAAGTGCAGATTCCACTCCTTCATTCCTCCTCTCCCAGGTTTTTGAACTGAACCCCCTCTGACTTAGAACTCATTAGAATTTGCTACATTAATGATTGGGTCTCCTCATGAAAATTTTTGACCAGTGTTAGGAGAGCCATTATAAACTAATCAGTCTCAAGGTATGGAATCACTGCTGGTTTACACCTCTGTTCTTTTTTTTTAAAGATTTATTCATTTATTTATCTGAAAGTCAGAGTTACACAGAGAGAGGAGAGGCAGATAGAGAGAAGTCTTCCATCTGATGATTTACTCCCCAGTTGACCGCAACAGCTGGAGCTGCACCGATCTGGAGCCAGGAGCTTCTTCCAGGTCTTCCATGCAGGTGCAGGGGCCCAAGGAGTTGGGCCATTTTCCACTGCTATCACAGGCCATACCAGAGAGCTGGATCGGAAGTGGAGCAGCCAGGTCTTGAACCGGCACCTATATGGGATGCTGGCGCTTCAGGCCAGGGCATTAACCCTCTGCGCCATAGCGCCGGCCCCATACACTTCTGTTCTTTATATGTCAGTTGTTCCCTGTATGCTAACATCTCCTCCCCAACTCCTCCATTCTGATGTCTAAGGCTACCCTTCCCTGTCCAGTTTCCGTACACACAACTCAGTTGTCTTTCCCCATTGGTCTTAGCTAACTAGGGTGTGCTGTCTTTGGATATTTTCTACAAATGCAAGTGCCCTTTCCCCCTTCCCACTAATAGATCTTCCTCCAATTTGTTCCTTAATCCTATAGTACAGTGTTTACATATTGTTGAAGTCTCTTATTTAGTCCTAAGGAACTGGAGGATAACTAAGAGACTCTTCTCACATCAAGGGGCATAAATTACTAGAAGGCTGGAGGTTTTGAACAGTCTGGCGTACCTTTCACAAGACAGGCAGGTCTAAGAAGCTCCCCATTATGACCAAGTCTGTTTGCATAGACACATCCATTCAAATAAAAGCACCCATTCTGCTGAGGATTCCTGAGAACTTTTGTTCTCTTTTCTATGAATGTGTCTTTCTTATGTGGCAGATAGTATGGGCCTCCCTCTGCCCTGTATACATACAGCTGTGGTGTTCCAAGTTAGCCATTGAAAAGTACAAGCTGCCTACTATAAAACAACAGTGGTCACACATCCCCAGGTCACAGCAATGCCAGGGCTTACATCTTCTGGGTAAAAGCAAACTAGGAATCACCCTGACCACAGACCATTTCACCTCTTACCAGTATAAATTAGTACAGTATGATGATCATTCCTTCACTATTTCTTGCTTTTTGTCCCAAAAGTCTCAAAATAGGCTGGCTGCAGAGCAACCATCCAGGGTTTTCACTTCTGGGTGGCTCCCCATGGTAACATCAAAAAGGTGCAGCAACACCCACAGCCTGAAAAATAGAACAGCCTTCCCTGGACGTGATCCCCACGCCAACACATAATAGCAGCAAACATAATAAGTATAGGGTAAAAAATTGCTGGGTTTGGTGATGTCAAAAGTTTTTCTTTACCAGTCCCTCTGCCTGGAAAGCATGTAGAAAAATTCATTTATATGTATATGTATTTGAAAGAGAAAGCACCTCTATCTACTACTTCATTCTCTGAATGCCTGCAACAGCCAGGGTTGGACCAGGCTGAAGCCAGGAGCCTGAAACTCTACTGCATGTCAAGTACATTCTGGATATTGGGGCATATAACAGTGAAGGAAACATAAAAGACCTCTGACACTGTGGAATGGGAGATGGGGGAGGCCCTACATAATAAAGGAATCTCAGGTAATGCAAGAGTTTGAAGGAGATGGGTGATGTAACAGACAGACTTGGGGGTAAGGAAAGAGGTGGACTTCTTTAGATTAGATGGAAAGTCTCTTTGGGAGATATTAAGATTGAGTTGAGACCTGAATTATACAGAAATACTAGCTAAGGGAAAAGCATTCCAGACAGAATGGCAGTACATAGGCCTCTGGTGACAACCAGTGTAGAAAGTCTGGGAAACTAAAAGACAGCTGCTGTAGCTAGGGTTTGAAGAGAAGAATGGAGATGGTAAGAACAAAATCAAGTTTATAGAGACCACATCACACTGGGCCAGAAAGGAGACGCACATATTTGAATTTTATTCCTGATGGAGTGGGAAGCGAGGTCCTAGCAAAGGTAATGAATTATTTTTCTATAACATTGACAATCCGTTGTTTTGCATTCATTGTTTGCATTCCCCATAGGTTAATCCTACAAAGATATCATGACAGTGAGCCATGTGTTTGTTAGTGGTTATTATCCAAAGGAGTGCGGGACACAAGAACAGATGACAAAAGTAGATACCCTCTGCTTCACAAGACGTTTTTCCACTCCCTCCATCTTTCTGATAGTTATTTATGCCATCTTTTGGATAAATTCAGCATTTGCCTTTGGATTTCCAACTGTTTTTACCTACAAATTGTTTAAATAGATGCTTTTTTGGGGATCAGCTCATTCTTCCATATTTCTCTATAGGTCACTAGGTGAAAGACTAGGAAGATCTATTAAATTGTAAACCAAAAGTTCCCACTCATTGCAGAATGATTTACAACAATGTAGCATGCAAACCATACACATCACTATTGCAGTCTTAATATATGAAGTGCTGCCTTTTTTTTTCTACTGGTTCTATTAAATGCCTGATTTTTTTTTTTTTTTTTTGACAGAGTGGACAGTGAGAGAGACAGAAAGGTCTTCCTTTACCATTGGTTCACCCTCCAATGGCCGCTGCAGCCAGCGCGCTGTGGCCGGCACACCACACTAATCTGAAGCCAGGAGCCAGATCATTTTTGACAGCGCCAGAGTTTTTCCACATAATATCTAACATAGAAAAATGTTCCAGTTCATGAGAGTTCTTAGCACATTTCACCAACTGGGATGAAAATATCCAAATGGTTAATATGACTTAAAATTTCCCAATTTTATATCACTGTAGCTCAGTGCATCATAGTTTGAATACAAATGACAGTAACTGAGACTAGTGTTGTGGCACAATAGATTGAGCCACCACCTTTGACATTGGCATCCCATATGAACACCAGCTCCCTGCTGATGTTCCTGGGAAAGCAGTGGATGGAAAATTACCATAGTATTTGGGTCCCTGGCCACTCATATGGGAGACTCAGAGGGAGTTCCAGTCTCCTGAATTCTGCCTACCCCAGTCCTGGCTGTTGCAGTTGTCTGGGAAGTGAACCAACAAAATGGGAGATCGCTATCTCCCTTTGTCTCTCCCGGTCTCTGTAACTGTGCCTTTCAAA